CACATCATTTCCCGATTAAAATTGACAAACATTAGGCACAAAGAGATGACTCTAAATTCGATGAAAATAGCCCAACCAAGGAATTAAATATAGGGAAGGTTTTTATTGAGTTAAAATGAGGCCGACCATTTGTAGTAGAGGACAAATTTTCGTTTTAAGCAGCACATGATGATTACAAATTTGCGCTTGCTTTAGCGTTCAACACGCATCGCAGATGACGAAAGAAGTATGGATTAATATTGACGAAGAAGACGAAGAATAATAGGATGGCCAGTTCTGGCTTATAAGCCTTCATCAGGCAGTAGAAGTGGTGGGCCACCAGAACCTTGAACCCGCGATCTGTTAGATAGAAGTTAAAAGTTCTAACCAATGAGTTACTGGATCGTTGTCTTGCCGATCTAAATCGGGAATATTAAAATTTACGGGTGAAAGCTCGCCGATCGGTAGGAATGTTCATCTGTCTATAATACTAGCCACAGTTCGGCTGCTGTGTGGGCTCGAGAATGAACTGTAAGGCAAAACGGAACGAATGAGTCCTACGATCGATCGTTGAACCTACATGCACTATGCAGATAGTATTACCAGCAGACAAGGGGGACTAGAATGGTCATTTCTGGCTTATTAGCCATCGTCAGCCAAATGGTGCAACACCCGAAACTCAAATCCGCCAGCATTTTGCTAAGAGTCCAACGCTCTAATCGATTTAAAGCCTCGGGTGGTGCATCACCTGACGCTGGCTTTGACTGGCTGAAGACGCTGTGCGGTTGCTGTCGGGGTTCGGGAATGAACTGTAAGGCAGAGAGGAATGAGTGAGTCCTACAATCGATCGTTGAGCCTGCATCCGCCATTGACGAGCGGATTGATATTTTGCTATGTTACATGAACAGCTGTTACATGAAGTTTTTTATAAAAACGGATGTACGACTAGTCCTTTCTCAATAGGCATTGCCTCAGGTTTTCTCAAGGAGTGACAAAACTAAACAATGTTTGACTTCACCGTCAGAAGTCTATGGTCGTGATGGCTCACACCTGCGCACTAAACTTCATTGTTGCTTCTAAAAACTAGACTGTAGTATTTCGTGTATAGCTCAGAAGACACCGGTTAAGCTACAGTAGACGCCGTTAATCATGCAATATTTCGACATATGCGGAAGACTAATACTCTTTCGCTAATCGAAATTGATTCCAGTTGTGATGCTGATTATTTTGTAGTGTATTCTGAAGTCCTTTCAGACAGGATAGGATGCCGGCTTTTTAACGAGCTTCGTTCCGACCACTAGCAAAACTCCAGTTGTGATACTGATTATCGTGTAGTCTATTCTGAAGTCATTTCAGTCGGTGAAGTTCTGAGAATGATTAACATGTAGTGTATTCTGAAGTCATTTCAGTCAGGATTGGAATGATACTGATTATTGTGTAGTGTATTCTGAAGTTATTTCAGTCAGGATAGGAAATAATTATCATGTAGTATATTCTGAAGTCATTTCAGTCAGGATGGGAAGCCGGATTTTTAACGAGCTAGTGTATTCTGAAGTCATTTTAGTCAGGATAGGAAGCCGGATTTTTAACGAGCTTCGTGTGAAGTCATTTCAGTCAGGAAAGGATGCCGGCTTTTTAAAGAGCTTCGTTCCAGCTCCTACGTAGGAAGCCGGCTTTTTAACGAGCTTCCTTCCGACTCCTAGCAAAACGTATCTTTGTAAAAACTGACTACTTGAGTAGTATGCCTTTTTATCATTGATTTTGACTATAAACGAGCTTCGTTCTGACTACCAGCAAAAAGTATCTACTGTGAAAAACTGGTTAACGAGCTTCGTTCTGATCACCAGCAAAAAGTATCCATTGTAAAAACTGGCTTTTTTAACGAGCTTCGTTCCGACTCCTAGTAAAACGTATATATTGTAAAAACCGACTACCTTTAAGTAGTATGCCTTTTATCATTGATTTTGACTGCCTTTATAAATTCAAATATACTTTATGGCGTATGCCTTTTTATCATTGATTTTGACTGCCTTTATAAATTTAAATATATTTCACAGAAAACATGGACGTATGCCTTTTTATCATTGATTTTGACTGCCCTTATAGATTCAAATATATTTTTTTATCATTGATTTTGACTGCCTTTATAAATTCAAATATATTTTATGGAAAGCGATCATTGATTTTGACTGCTTATCATTTATTTTGACTGTCTTTAAAAATTCAAATATATTTTATGGAAAACGCACGAAAAAATTATTTCTTGTACTCTTTATAAGTTCAAATATATTTTATGGAAAACATCGACAAACAAATTATTTCGTGTGCATCAAATATATTTTATGGAAAACATGCACGAGAAAATTATTTTTGTACTTTTTCGATATTAAATTCAAATATATTTTATAGAAAACATGGATGAAAAAATTATTTCTTGTACATGTTTGATAGCAAATTACGCGTTCTTTAAATTTTATACTCAAAGAAAGGGTAGCTTTCGGTTTTAAAATAAGAAAGGGTAGCTTTCGGTTTTAAAAAAGTTGCCCAATTGCCGAACAATTTCTAAACGAGTGAATGCTACACCCGAGTTGGAGGTTTAAAAACTGCGCACTGTGTGCATCCTGTTTAAGGAAATGTACGTTTTCACCCACAGTCTGAAGTAGAGGTCACATAGTTGTCATAAAATATTGAAAAATATGTGGAACATATTTTATGCAGTTTAGGTAGCG